ACCCTGATATCAAGACCAGACAAAGACATAACAAGAAAATGACAAATCAATATCTCTTAGAAATAGACAAGCAAAAATCCTCAATTATACACCAAGACCAAGTTTTATCCCAGTAATGCAAGGTTGGTTTAACGTCTGAAAATCAACGGATGTAATGCACCAATGTAAAATAAAAACACTCGAAAAACTTGGAACGGAAGGGACTTACTCAACATTATTAAGGGCATATACAAAAAATCCATAGTTAACATAATATTTAATGGAGAAAGACTAGATGCTCTCCCCCAATCAGGAATAAGACAAAAATATCTACACACTGATTGATCACTTCTACTCAGCACTGTAACTGGAGGTTCTAGCCAGGGCAATTAGTCAAGAAAATGAAAGAAAGATACAAAATGTAAAGGAAAAAATAAAATTTTCTTTTTGCAGATGACATGATCTTGCACAGAGAAAATCCTAAGGAATCCATTACACCAAGTGTATCAATTAATAAGTTCAGCAAAATTACAGTATATGAGATCAATATACAAAAAACAATTATATTTTATATACTAGCAATGAAAAATCTGAAAATGAAATTAAGGAAATCGATTGGAATAATATAAAAAAATTTTAGGGATAAATTTAACAAAAGATATACAAGACTCGTATACTAAAAACAGAGTTAAAAAAAATTAAAGATCTAAATAAATGGAAAGACATAGAATGTTCGATTGAAAGACTTAACGCTGTTAAGATGGGAATACTTCTCAAAGTAATCTACAAATTCAATGCAATCCCTATAAAATCCCAGGTGGCTTCTTTGTAGAAATTAAAGCGAATCTGAAAATTCAAATGGAAATTTTAAAAATTCAAAATGGCCAAAAAGAATCTTGAAAAAAAGAAACTAGGAAAGAACATTTACATTTCCTAATTTCGAAACTTACCCCAAAGCTACAGTAATCAAGACAGTGTGGAACCAGCATAAAGACATAGAAATCAGTGGAATAGAACTGAGAGTCCAGAAATGAACCCTCATATTTATGGTCGATATATCTTCAACAAGGCTACCAATATCTTTCAATGGAGGAAGAACAGTCTCTTCAAAAAATGGTGCTGGAAAACTGAATAGTCATATGCAAAAGAATGAAGTTGGATTCCTCCCGCCTCATGCCATATATACAAACATACCATCGAAATGGATCAAAGACTTCAATGTAAGAACTAAAAATATAAAACTCTTAGAAGTAATAATGTGTAAAACTGCATGACCTTGGATTTGGAAATGACTTCTTAGATACAACACAAAAGCACAAGCTAGAAAAGAGAAAAAAGTTAAATTGGACTTCTTCAAAATTAAAAACTTTGAGGCATCAAAGGATACTTTCAAGAAATAAGAAGATAAGTCATATGTCTGATAAGGCACTTGCATCTAGAATACACAAAGAACTCTTCAACTAGATCATAAAAAGACAATTCAATTAAAACTGAACATTTTTCCAAAGAAGTAATATAAATGGCCAATAAGCACAAGAAAAGATGCTCACATCATTATTCATCAGGGAAATGCAAACCAAAACCTCAAGGAGATGCCTACCTCACGCCCACTAGCACGGCTAGAACCAAGTCTAAACAATAATAAGCGGACTGTCAAAAAGGACGTGTAGAAATCAGAACTCTACACTGTTTGTGGGAATTTAAAACAACCAGGGCACTTTGGAGAACAGTCTGGCAGTTTTTAAAGTTTAAACAGAGTTACCATTTGACTAGCAAATCCACTACTGGGTATGTATACCCAGAAGAAATGGAAACACATACACGCAAAAATTTACACACAAATGTTCACAGCAGAATTAGTTATAGTAACTAAAAGGCAGAAGCAACCAAAATGTCCACCAACTGACATATAAAATGAGCTGCAGACATACAATGGGATACTATCAGGCCCTGGAATAAAGTACTCATTCATGCCACCACATAGATGAAATGTTAAGTTAAAGAAGATAAAGGGAAAGAAGGCCTCATGTTGTATAATTCTGTTTACATGAAATATGAGAATAAGCAAATCCATAGATAGAAAGTGGACTAGTGGTTGCCTAATGCTAGGGGGATGGGGTGCCTTTTTGGAGTGATAAAATTACACTAGTAACAGTTACAAACCTCTGAATATACTAAAAACCACTGAATTGTAGGCTTCAAATAGGCAAGTTTTATGGTATGCGAATGATATCCCAATAAAGCTGTTTACAACGATGAAAAAAATACTAGGGAAAAGCTACTGGCAGCTAGCCGGTCAAAGCCAAGGAGACTGCTAACTACCGTACAGTGCACAGGGCAGCCCTAAAACAATTACCTAGCCCGACACGTCAGTCATGGACTTCTTTGTCATGGGGGCTGTCCATGCACTGAAGAACGTTTAGCAGCATCCCTGGCCTCCATCCATTAGATGCAGTAGCACAGCCTCCCAATGGCGACAATCAAAACTGTCTCTGGAAAGTGGAAAATGTCCTTGAGGGACAAAACCCCTCCGCCCCTCCCACCCTGAGTACTGCTCTAGAAGAAGACCATCCAAGCTGTTTCTAAAACAGCAGATGAGCTTCCACGACAGAAATAAAGATCAATGAATCGAGTTTAAGTTTTAACCTCTTTATGTTTAAAAAAAAAAAAAAAGGGCTCCATGGAAAAGCAAACACAAGCAGGAAAAACATTTAACAGGACCTAATGTTGGTAAGGGTGCAGCGAGCCTTTTTCACGCACACTGCTAGTGGCAACACAAACGGGTGTTTACAGCCTCAGAGAAACCAACCTCTTGGTGTTTGCCAAGAACCACGAAATGCTTGTACCTTTCACCCAACCCATCAATTTGAGAATTCATGAGAAGAAAATAATCCTAAATAGAGCTACGAGCACAAAGATACCTATAACACTGTTTTAACAGTGAAAACTTGGAAAACTGAAGTTCAGCCATAGAGGTATGGTTTTGATAAATGACTATGCAGTCACTAAAAAGGAAGATAATGAAGACTCAACAGTAACCCATTAAATGCTTATGAAATTGCTAGGGAGAAAAGGAAAAACAAAATTTTATGGTTAAAATACTACAGCTACATATTTGCACCACAAATAAATTCACAGAGGAAAAAAAAAACCTTAAGAAGAATTACACACAAAAAATGTTCTTAATACTCTTAAATTGTGTATTCACAATTTAAAATTCTGGAGACATTTTAAAATACTTTTTTAATATTGCACTGTATCCTGAACAAAATTCATAAGATTATTTTATTTTCATGCTTCCTGACATGGATTATTCTTTAGACTTAGGTTACAAAACCATAATGGTTTTTCAAACTTAATCTCTTTGAAATTCTTCCTCAAGACTTAAAATGCAGCCCTCAGCTAAAAAGAGGACTCACTGCTAGTTTTAAGTATGCAAATTTTAAAATGCCCTTATAAGTAATCACAAATACATGTGGCCAAAATTATTTGAGAAGCATTTCCCACACTTGTAAATTTTTTTCTCATTATACTAAGTTCTGATAACTTTAACTCAATTTTCAGCAGCTTAATTCTCAAAACAACTTATTAAAATTCCTATTGTGTGCTTAAACACTAAAAAATGTCAAAGGTTCCTACATAACGTATTCTCCGTGCCTTCTTTAAAAATGCGAATTTCATCCTTTATGAAATACCAACAGATGCTCAACGCCTTGACAATGGTAATTAGGGGTCGACATGGGAGGCGTGTAGGTGAAAAAGGCTACACCTGTTGTGAAAGCTGAGGAAGCCCGTGAGCTCAGCGAAAGCCTGAGAGGAACAAGCGCTTTAACGACCACTGTATTCAGCAGTTGCTGCAAGAGCGTGTAACAAAAGCAGGACTCTAATTCGCGCACGTTAAGTTCTTCACTATTCCTGACTTTTCGTCTCACCTTTCTCTTCTGTCACCCTTGCCAAAAAAAGAGGAATTTTAGCGAACCCACAGGAATTATTGCCAGGCACTGCTACAAGTTTTCATAACAATCAATCACTATTTATCAAAAATCAACAGCAGTACCATTACAGTCAAATAAAGCATGCTACAGACATTTAAGAACTAAATTTTTTTAATGTAAATGATACTTTTTACTAGTAAGCTATTAGATACTATCAGCTGTCCCTTTGAGTTGATGAAACCTGCTGCCACGAGGAAGAAAGTGCCCATCAGTTATATCTATTACTGATCTTGTTTTCAATAGTTTATTGTTCACAATTATTGTTAACTTACAAATAATTATGGGTCAAAGCTAAACATAAAGTGATAGAGGTTTAACAAAATATTTGGCCATTTCTAATAAAATCTTCCTTATTCACTCCTCTAGTAACTTTCAAAAACTCTCACTATAGAAAAGAACACAAAATTTTGGAGCCTAATAAGAAGCAATGCTTGAAAATAAAATTATAATTAACTTTCTATTAACTTTTAATTTTCTAATTGTATTTCTAATTTAAGACCAAGTACTTCTTTTCTAATTTTAAAAAACAGAAAAGTATCATTCTCTTTATTCAAAAACTGGCTAAGACTATATTAAAATGTAGCTTTATTAATTAATACTAATTAATAGTACCAAATAACATTTTACTGTTTCACCAACTCAATTATCCATGCTCTAACTTTAAAAGCATGCATAACAAATTTAAAAATCCACAATCATACTATAAAATAATAATCATGAAATAGTTAAATATAGACCTCTGGTGACAATGTCGACTTTATAGAAAAGTATACCCATTAAAATCAACAACCACCACTATCAGTGTTTTCACAAAACCTTTACTCTGTAAATTTCAGACTGACATGTCCTGTGATAGCTCTTATACTATACACATATAATTTCAGTTCATCTATTATTAGACTAGAGTGATAACATCACTAGAACACAGAAAATGATTAAGTCACAGCATATTTATATGGAAATCTTTCTATAATAATTAAGTTACTAAAAAGACTATATCAAAACTGAATGAAGACCAAGTTTTACCTTTTCTGTATTGTAATATAAAGATTTCAAAGTAGTAAACAAGGGTGGGCAGCCTTTGCTGAAGTTAACCCTCAGGAACTTATCCAATAGTTCTCTAAATTTTTCACCTGGAAACAAAAGTGTACTTTGTTATACTTTGATTAATGCAAACAGTTCTTAAAATAATTTGATAAACAAAAATAAAATTCACTCAGAAACAGTTATCCCCCTTTCCGATTTTTAAACCCAAAAAAGTTAGCATTATTTCTTGTTTTTTCACCACCTAAAAGCCTAACACTAAATATCTCAGTAGGCAGCTATACTTTCTCCTAGATCTAGGTTCAAAATATCTTCAAGGAATACTTCCAAAGATAGGTAAACAAAATGACTGCACAGCTTTGAGTAAAAGTAACCCATTCTGAATACAGTGCCCAAAGCGAGGATTTTTCCTAATCTCACTGGCCAGCACAGACTCAGTCCTGCTATCTACAGACAGCTCATAAGGCTCTCTGCAGGCTATAAAAAGATTCTACTGTAACCAGCACTATATTCAAGTAGCAGCCAAAAAATATTTTTAAACATGAAAGCAGTATTTACAAATGTTTTCCAAATCAACTAGTGATTTACTTCAACATTCATTCCACAGCCATCTACCGAGCACCTACTATGTGCCAGGTACTGTTCTCAGTTTGGGGATATAGTAGTGACTAAAACAAAACAATCACGGACCTTAACATTCGAGGGATGAGAAAAACAGGAAGTAAAAGAATGTATGTTGGACATTAGACTGAACCCTGGAGTATTCTAATAAGAAATTAAAATTAAGTTCCCTACTTGCAATAACTATTATTGCTAAACCCTTACCAAAAAATTTTGGTATCACCTTTTAAAAGCAGAAGAAATTAAGAAAATTTTAAAAATAATGGCTCTAACTCAGACATACGAACTTTTTGATAGTAAGTATTAATAAATAAGGACATAGATTTGTCCAATCATTAAAAAAAAAAGATACAGATATTTCATGAATAGTTTAACCTAAAGTAAGATTAAGGAAATGAACTCTTAAGGGTTTCTTTATGAATCACAAGACTATATATATAAAACAAACAACTCAAAGTGGTTATTTTTGTTTTGACAGACCATGCTGAACAAATATGTGTACCCATAATTAGATATCATAAAATTTGAGAGAAATTAAATTTTATCTAGTGGAAAATGTATCAAATAAAAAAACAGATACAACATTAAAAGACTGTTTTCAGATAATTACTAATCTTTTATTAGATCATATACAAAGTATAGGTCTTTTGAAAATTACATTACCAAGACAACACGAAATTTCTCTTTGGGTTAAATATACATCATCACTTACTTACAAATCAAAAGTAATTTTAGAGATCAAATCTTTCCAGCACTTCCTCTGATATAAAGCAAAAGCACACGACACTGAGGAAGACAGTAAGAGATGTTGTTGCTTACAGGAATGCATAAGCTTCTACTTACTTCGTGTGAGCTTGCACAAATACCTTGTCCACTAAAGTAAACCTCACTTTCTCCACTCTAAGATGAAGGTAACACCACCACTAGCCTCAAGAATACTCATCTATGGCTCAAACGAGTATATAGCAGTAAGCAGTGTGTCTGGAACATAGTAACCGCTTAATAAATGTTGTCTATCATGTGCCTTGATATCGGACAGCTATTGTATTTCTATAGTTAAGAATCTTTTCTATATTTGTTATCATCCACCAAAAAAGCATTTATCTTTATGTCAGAGACTACTCTACACTCCGTTTCTTGGTCAAATTTCTCAGTCTAGTCAGATCATGCTGGCAGATTTGAGTCAACTCTCAATTATTCACAATATTGACTGTTGTTTATACTATGCAGCTATGAGAAAAAATGAAGCTCTTATGTGGTGATACCAGACTAAACTCCATACACAGAGTCAAGGCAGTGGGGGCAGAACAGGCACAGTACAATCTATGCTACCACTTTTGTACAAAATGGGGAGAGAAAAAAAGAAAGCTATACACGAACTCCTCACACATACTTTTGCTGGGAAACTCCATACACAGACTAAACTCCATACACAGAGTCAAGTGGGGGGGAAAAAAAAAACAGGCACAGTACAGTCTATGCTACCACTTTTGTACAAAACGGAGAGAAAAAAGAAAGCTATACACGAACCCCTCACACATACTTTTGCTTGTATATGCACAATGTATTTCTGGAAGAATACACCATCTACTAATAACAACGGCCATCTCTAGGGAAGTAAACTTGGCCAGGGAACAGAGACAGAAAAAAAGACTTTTCACTTAAAAATCTGTTTGTACCCTTCTATTTGAAACTGTATGAATGTATTTACTATCTAAACAAGAAGCCTACACACAGCTACTCAACTTCCCAGTCACACACTATATCCAAAAATTACTATTTACCCATCTCATGATATTTCACTTTAGGTATAAGAAAAATCTTTTCACAAAAACAATCTCCCCTCTTCCTAGTTATTTTAAAATAATTCTTTAGAACTCCCATAGTCTTTCCTTTCGAGGTGGAGGGGGTGACCCTGTTTAGCATTACAGCTTGTAAACAGGTTATCTGACTTACACAGATGCAATGGTATTTCTAAATGTGTAGCGTAGATTCAAATAAAAGTTATTGTTTCCAAAATCACTTCTAAAATAACGAACATAAACACAAGACCAGACTGTATCTGATTCATTGGAATTTATTCTAAATAATGGAGCATGTTCTCACTATAAAAAAGAAGTGATAATTACGTGACCTGATGGAGGTGTTAGCTAACACTACAGTGCTAATATTGCAATATATAAATGTAGCATTATCAATACATTTATACCTTAAACTAATACAATGTTATATATCAATTATATCAACCAATCAATCAATCAATAAACAATTCGATGAAACAAAAACAGAGCAGAATCTGGTTTAATATTCTGGATTGTCTCCTACCCTCCCTCTCCTGCCTGTCAAGGGAAGACTAACAGAACAGGACGAATTAAACTATTTTGAAAAGTAGCTATATCTCTGCGTTATATTCGCAACATTAAAATTTCAGGCTGTTAGAGGACGGCCCCAGGACTTCTGCAGTGTTCACTACTCTGTAAGTATTAAGCCTTTTAATTTAAAAACTGGAAAGCATTTTTCAAAAGTTTCCCCTTGTATTCTCAAGTTCCATCATTTATTTATTTATTTACTTTTTTGGAAAAGCTCTCATTTGCTTTTGATAATGCTGAGATGTCTTTCTTATTATACATAAAAATATTTCTAAAGAGGCAAAATACTTTATGAATTATTCGGCTTTTGCACAGGTACAATTAAGTATGTGAACTATTTTATATATATATGCTCACTGGAGCTTTGTAAATACATGTACGTTAGAGCCTCACAGTGATGAGTACCTTAAAGCCCATGCCATCAGACCCCTCAGCTGGGACCTGTCTTGTAAAGAGATCCTTTTAGCATTTCAAAGACAGACTGTCCCAGAGGATACAGGATGACTCCACTGTAATCTAAATCACATTTCACAGTCAACAGCTGGTTCCAGGCTATTTTTCAATAAAAATACACTTCCTATCATGTACTGAGAGCTTTTAGCACTCTGTGCGTGCTATGAAAATAAATCTAGGCAATGTTCATTTGAAGCCCCATGTTCCATAAAGAAATAATATAACTAAGAACTCTTGCTGGTAATCTTAAGTAAGTTTTCTTTCTTTTCCTAAGAGGCACGTGAATGCATCTGAAAGCTCCAAACTTAAAGAATATACCCACTCACACCGGGAAACAGAAGAGATACCCTGAAACCAGGAGAAAAGAAAAACAGAAGCCAGACATAAAAAGCCACCTTTGGTATAATTCCATTAAAATGAAATATTTAAGTAAAGACAGCAGATCGATGGTTGCCAGGGAGGGGTGGGAGTGACTGCTGACAGTATGGGTGGGTTTCTTTTTGGAGTGATGAAAATTTTCTGAAACAAGATAGTGACAATGGTTGCACAACTCCATGAATATACTAAACACTGAGTTGCACACTTTAAAAAGTATATTTTATAGTGAGTTATATTTCAAAAAGCTGTTATTTTTTTAAAAAGGAGACAAAGAAGTGTGAGCTCAAGCATATTCCACAAAACATGTGTAGTAGGACAGTGCTCCTCCCTACGCGGTGTATTCCACCGTGGAAATTCACAATGCAGACACTGAACGTTCTAAGAAGTCCTACAGAAACCTGACTGCTGTGTTTAACCCAAAGTTTCCCAAACTCACTTGACTGAAGAACATCTCAGTATACCAGCACCCTCCCTGCCAAGCCTATTAATACCCACTTGGACATAAAGCTCCCCAAAAAACATTAGGGAAATCTGCTCTCAGTATTTCACAAATACAAAACAAAAAAGAAAGGATCAGAAGAATGTTATTCATCATCTGTGGAACTAAACTGTACTAGTGGAAAATGAATTTTTTAAATAAATTCATAACTACCATTTAAACTGAAACATTTCTTTTTAAGACAGTCAACTAAAACATTTAATTTCCATGAATCTTTTAATAAAAAGGAAATTATAGCCCAATTATTAAAACAAATACATTCCCTCCTTATCTGATGCCTAGAATAGATTTTTAGAAGTTGGATTACCCTTCTAGTGTCTGACGTGAATCAAAAGACTTACTAAAATTCCCAATAATTCAAGACCTATAACACTTTCGACTAAAAATAAAGATGACTTTAAGAAAAAAGGCACAATTTTCGATAAAACCATCAATGAAGATATTAACTGTCTGGAGAGCTAACATAGTCTTTGCCTCCTATACGACCAAAAGTGAATGAGTTCAGATACACTCAGTGACTTGGATGAGGCCATAAACAGACCACTGTTCAATACAAGCAAGTCACAGAATACATATCATAATACTCCAATCTGCATGAAGTACAAAAAAAGCAGAGTTGTTTTTGCTTCTAGGGATACAGACTATATGGAGCTCTATAAAAACAATGGCATGATAAAAAGCAAACTTCAGGAAAGTGTCACCTCTGAGAGAGGCCTTCAGTAATAACAGTGACATTCTTCCCTTGAACAGTGTGCCAGGCACACAGAGCTCACAACTCTTTGAATTTATTTCTGAAAAGAAGACCTACAACTTCAAAACTTCTACCACTTAAATCATAATACCTCATATAAAATCTGTCATCAATTTACCTTCTAAATATGGTGTTTAATTTTTAAAGTCATGTAAAGAAAATAATTTATGTAGATAATTTCTGATATGTAAAACCAACACATAGCTATACACTGAACACTGATTAACATATGCATAATGAATTCATAACTGACCACTCCCACCCCCCAGACCGGTACAGATATAAAACAAACTGTATACCAGAAACGAGTTTTTAAAATGTAAATGGTGTTGAGTAATTTCGACAAATAATTATTAGTGTTACAAAAGAGATCCTAATATTACCTGGGACAAGATTCAAAGGTAATCTTCTAGGTGAAATTGCTCGGGGGTGCTGCTTACTAATTTCTTCATAAATCTGAAGCCTTTCTTCTAAAGTGCCTATTATCAGTAAATATGTGTGAGATTCAAAGTATCAAAACTTCTATGAGAAAACAATAAACTGTTAAAGTTATACAAAAATTACATTATCAATATGAAAGTTGCTCTCAATTTTTGTAAGAATGACATCTAAAAGTCTGTGGTGGTGAAAGAACATAATCGGTAAATCATTTTAAACCCAATCTCCAGAAAAATCTAAAGCTTCTTTTATTAAAACAGATTCTATAACTAACTCAAATCATATATAAACAGGACACAATGACTCAAGATATACTGCATTTCTTTTGTATTCCTTAGCATAAAACCTATGAAAAATAAAATGTTTCTTTATATGTATCTTACTTAAACACTCCAACCGAACGAAGCCTGCCTACATGTAGCTCCACAGAAGTCTATGATGCCCACTGATTAGGCTTAGAGAAGGAAGTTTTAAGATCATGAATGCAAATGTTTTATATTTAAAAAGATGAACTAAATTTCTAAGGTAGCTTTGACACTTAAAATTTTCAATGAAATTCCATTATAAAAACCCCCATTAGTACAGACTACGTTTAAAGTAAAAGCATTTCTGCCAAATAACAGCAATGTAAAATAAACTTCTAATAGAAAGTTGTATCTTCCCTCCCAAGACCAATCTTATTTTATAGTACTTAACAGAGGCTCTACACTAAATTCTATGATACTCTGCAACAATAACTTACAGAGTAGAATCTGGGTCTAGTTCATTATTCTAAAATAATATCCTGCATAACTTACAAAGCGAGATTGCATGTATTATTTTATATAAGCAATAAGATGGCTTAGAGCGGAATTTTCAGAAAAAGCAAACCAGTTTTTAAACTATAAAATTTAAGAGGATTTTAATTCAGACGACAGAAATGCAATTATTTTAAGAATAATCCTTGGTGTTAGCAATCAAGGCATCACCATGTGAAATGTTGTGTTTAATATCAAGATCATAAACACTGCACTTGTCTGATTTTCCTTAGACTCCTTCCGTCCCCCAACAGTATTTTTCGGAGCTCCAATGTGGTTGGATTTTTAGAACTCGGATATGTGAAAAGTAATTTTTGCATTCTGTTAACAATCTGGAGACTTCATGAAATATTAAGGACCCTTATAATACTAAAAGTCACATGAAGGTTATGATACGTATTTTTTTAAAGCAGTTCTCATATTTATACCTAATGTTAGAGAATGTCAGGCTGTGAATATAAAAAACTTTTCCACTGCCCCAGATATAACGAATCTTTAAAATGTAATTAAATTAACATTAAGACAAAACCAAACCATTTCAATGCCTTATTTCGAGTCACAAGTCGGAGCTCCAGAACGTACCATGGGGGAGAAAAGGTCCTAAGGAGCCTAAAAAGATAAAGTAATGCAATTAGTCTTGCAATCAACACATTTTTATATTAAGCATGGATCCCGACGTATAGAATGTTACATTCATTTTACCAAAACATGTAAATATCTTTATTATTAACTACATGTCAGTAACTGGTAATTTAAAGAAAAATCATAGTTATCACACATTGCCAACTCTCAAAAATATAACTTTTGTCTTTTTTTTCAAAAAAAAAAAGATTATTGATCTAATCCATATTTAAATTTTCATAAGAACATTTGAAGAAATAAAAACTTGAATAATTGTGACATTAAATTTTATATACAAACAGAAAACTTGGATTGACTTATAAAAATGATTAGGCTACAATAAATAAACTTTTCTCATAGCTCACACTACTATAAATGAATATGGATAGCTACCTACTTACCATACTTTTTAAATTTAAAAATTCTGCTGTTTCAACATCCTTGAGCCATAGTTTCATAAATATTTCAGCCATACATTTGTCTTAAGTAAATGTGGTTTCAGTAATATTAACTGCTAACATTTAATTATGAAAATATTAGGGAAAATTTGGAATCCTACTCTAGATTTCTGAAAAGGGTCAAGGTTATCTCATTTCAAAAAACATATAACATTTGCTCTAAACAAATTAACCTAGTTTGCATTGAGAGAATAATTTTTATGCCAATGCTATATACAGTATATCCTCAGCAAAATTTCTTTCGCCCGAGTCTTTTGTTTAGAGGTTGAAGATGACAGACCTCTACTTCTTTAAAAATATTAAATAATTACGACATTTCCCAGAAAGGGAATGTTCATTTTCTTCCTCGTTTCTCTAGTCTAAATTGGTAACAGTTTAATGGGTCAAGGAACCTAAAATATTCTGTAAGCATTTATCACAAGTATTAAATATTTTAATTCATTTTCATTTCCATGTTTAACCTGTAATTTTCCTAAATGGAAAAATAAATTCTAATACTAAAAATATGTCCTCAAATATTATTACAACTTTACGTTTTTATACTTCAAACACTAGTTGAGAAGGTAGAGGAGAAAAATCATTACATACTAAGTTGCAGGGCTTTTTCCAAACCTTCATAATAACACCAATTTTCTGCATTCCGATCAATCAAGTTTTTGAATACTTCACTGGCTTCTTTTAATCTTCCCAATTTCAACAGCATTTCTCCTAAAATTAAGTTTAAAGTCACATTCACTTTACGTAAAGATTAAATACCTTTCTGATCCCAGACATTTCACTAAGCGTTATGAGTACAGCAGATGTTTATGTGCCTCTCTTTGGGTAATGCTGCATTTTATATAATTAAACACAGACTAATGTACAGCTTGCCTTCATTTACACATTCTACTCTACTAACAACCATTTCTGGCTCCCTCCAAAATCCCCGAATATACATGTCCGATATTAATTAGTCAGTACAAATCTTTGCCTTATGTGTATTTTTATATATCTTTTACTAAAGATAACAAACTTACTAAAGATAACTAAAGACTCTCTACACATACTGGTAAATAATTCTAAGGAAATATCCCTATATTCCTTCTGCAAGATGTAAATGTACTTTTCCTGATCAAGTCATATATTAAACAATTCCCTATTCAATTCTCCTAATTTCCTTTCCAGATCACTAAAGAGTTAACTCAAGAAAATACCACTAAATACCACTTCACAGCAAGAAACCACACAAAACATGTTCACATGTGAGTCAACTCCTACGTTCAATTTTTATGTGGCTTTTATTAAGCTACACAATATGAGAAATGAGGATCTAAACTTCTCAAATATAATGGAAAGTACACATACTCCAAGATCAGATTGTCTCAAAAAAGAATTTATATCAACTTTCTATCCCTAAGATTTCCCATTTCCCCAAACAATCTACTTCAAACAAACAATTCTCTGAAATGTCTTTAGTCATATTATTTCAGCTTTCCTCAACTTGGAGGAGGCAGCATATTATAGTGGTTATTATATACTATTATTTTATTATTTTTATATATACTATTCAAGCTGTAGAGTAAAACTAGGTATAATTACTAGTTTTACTACGTTCTAGCTTTGTGAACTTGAACAAGTTACAAACATCCAATGTCCATTTCCTTACTTCTAAAATATCAACCACCTCAGTCAGCTTTTGTGATGATCAAATGAAATAATTTAAAGAGTTTAGCACAGTGTTTGGTATAAAGTCAATACACATAAACATTTGCTACTTAAAAACACAAACATGCCCCATTACTCCAGAATTAACTTCTGGTCAGTCCAATTTTTCCCCTGTTTACACTAGATATAACAGACAACAGCATATTCTTCAATTCCAAAAATGTTGTTATCTGCTACCACCACAAGGTAAAAGTTTATTACTAGGGAAATATAGAGGACAAGTAAGTACACTAGCATATTCATAAAGTAAATAAAATGTCTAACTTTATTTTAGAAGTGTTTAAAAGTATCTTAATATGCTAATGGCTACAAAACACATAAACGTCTAAGTATCAAAGGTCTCTGGGCCTGCCAAGTTCACTGAAAAAAAAAAATTACCCTAACCTGTCCCTGTAAGCAACACAAAGTACTGGCTTTATAGTCAAACTGATGGCCCCCAAATCACCCTCACTAGCAACACATGCTACGATCTGTAGGATCTTTAAACCAGAATTTATCTTATTATAGCATCTCCACTTTTAATCACTGCATTCCCTATAGATGCTATAAGACACAGAGAAAGCAACCCGAGAGTCAAGATTTAAACAGGAAATAGCAATAATACATCAGAACATAAAAATAATTATCCACATTTTACCAATAGTCTGAAAAATAATGTTGTAGTCAATATTGTTATTATTATTATTATTCACAATAAAAACTAAGTCAGTTGCTCGCCATACATTAACAGGAGTAGAGTACGGCAGTTAAAAGGAAGGGCTCCTGAACAGACATGAAGGAACCTTAAATGTATTAAGTTAAAGAAGTCAATATGAAAAGGCTACACACTACATAATTCCAAATATATGGCATTCTGGAAAAGGAACTACTATGCAGACAGTAAAAGGATCAGTGGCTGCCAGGGTTGGGGTCAGGGAGAAACAAACAGGGCACCAAAGCTTTTTAGGACAGTGAAACCAGTCCTCTGTATGACACCATGATGGTGGCTGTGTGTCGCGGGAATGTAAACTCCAGACTTTGGGTGGCCAGGACGTTTCATGTAGGTTCACTGAGTGTAACACACGCAGCACTCTGCTGGGAGTGCTGACAGCGGAGGAGGCTACGCATGAGTAGAGACGCAGGGTATACTGGAAATCCTTGTACCTTCTACTCAATTCTGCTATGAACCTAAAACTACTCTAAAAAATAAAGTCTATTAAGAAAAATTTTTTTAGGTAATGGCTCCGAAGTGAGAAAGATGTGTTTGGAAATTAACTCTACCACCTAAAAGGTGACTTTGGGCAAGTCCTTATATCTCTAAGCCTTGGTTCCTCCAACTACAAAACGGGAAAACAAATAGTACCCATGTCAGAAGCGCTAAAGATGTAAATGAAATAAAGCAGTTTAAGCAATTATCATACTCCAGAATATAGAAAGAATGAATAAATGTTAGCTATTATCTTTATTAAGCTTTAAAGTTCTGTAACTATATGAAATTTTAATTTTAAGCTAATTATTTTAGTTGGACATTCTATTTAATACAGTACTGCTCATGAAATGAGTAATCAATAAGCAAAGCTTTGTTAAGAAAAAATGTGCATGACCCTTTGTTGATGAACATTTTTAACAAATTATTTATCAGGAGCCAACCTTCATAATTAGCCCATAATGAAAATAAAGGACTCTTGCTTTCATGATGATCCTAATGTCATTACATGTATATATCAAATGAGAACAGCAAATATACACATACTGGGGAGTGGAACATAAAGGCAGTATTACATACTGGTTAAGAAAACGGAATCCGGAGTCAAAATCCCTGGACTCAAATCCAGCACTACCCAGCTTACTAATCCATGTGACTTTGGGCAAGTCATTAACCTCTCTGTTCCTCAGTCCCTCAACTCTAAAATGAATATAACTACATCACAGGATTGTTATGACAATTAAATTAATTAATAATGGCTTAATAATTAGTGTTTAGAACACTGACTGATACGTAGCAAGTCTTATTTAAGTGTTAAAACAGAATTAAGTACATAGTTTTTGTTCTTTTCTTTAACTGAGGCCATTGAAAAAGAAAAAGCAAGTCAACTTACCTTTAATTTCTTCCACCAAAAGTTTATCACATATTTGTTTCTCGTATGTTTCTATATGCTCCAAAGATTCCTGAACTAGATCTGCTTCTCTCATCACTTGATTCTGGTATAATATCAGTTCACTATATTCATAGTCTATTTTGTTGGGAGGAACCTAAAAAAATAAAAGATAAAGAAAGACTAAATTATCTTATTTTACATAATTACATAAAGTCGTTATAGATCATTGCTTTCTCAGGAAGTATTTCACACAGACTTAAAAAAGGAATCCACAAGAAATTAAAAATAGAAGAGTGATTAACAGAAAGATTAATACAGTCTTTAAAATAAAGGGGTGGAACTTTTGTATATAGCTAAGTGAACAAGTCAGCAAATCCTACACTTCCCAAAAAAGTAGAAAATGGTTAAAATTCTAAAAACTCTACAATAAAAAACCTACTAGAACTAATAAAGGAGTTAGACAAAGTGACAGAATACAAAATCAATTCTATTTCATATATAGACTAGCAACAAACCTAAAAATGAAATTAAAATAATTACATTAACAGCATCGAAAAGAACAATATATTTAGAAACAAATTTAAGAAACAAGATCTATATGCTGAAGACTACAAAATATGCTGAAATTACAGACCTAAATAAATGGTTATAAAGTCCATTCTACAATCAAGAATCAGAATACTCAATAATGTTTTGATGCCAATTCTCCCCAAATTGATCTATAAATTTAATACAATCCCTATCAAACTCTCAGCAAGACTTTTGCAGAAATTTATTTACAAGCTAATCCTAAAATTCAAATTGAACTAAAAGGAGCCCTACATGGCCAAAAGAACCTGAAAAAGAACAGAGGAGGAAGATAAGCATTTGAAATTTCGAACTTACTGTTAAGCTACACTAATCAATACAATGTGGCACTGGCATAAGGATAGATGTATAGATCAACAGAACAGAATACAAGGTCCAGAAATAAGCCTTTATATTCTAGTCAATTAATTTTCTACAAAAGTGCTAATGCAATTCAATGGAAAAAAAGGTAGTCTTTTGAACAAATGATAGTGGGACAATTAAATATCCATATGCAAAAACTGACACATAGTTCGCACCATACACAAAAATTAACTCAAAATGGATCACAGACCTAAATGTGAGTACTAAAACTATAAAAGAAATCTTAGAACAGGAGAAAAATCTTTGTGATTTTTCTATGCATAAAAGAAAAATTGGTCAATTGGGTGTCATCAAATTATAAACTTTTCTTCTTCAAAAAATGCCAGTAATAACATGAAAATACAAGTTAAAGACTGGGAAAAAATATCTACGGATAGTACAGCTGATAAGGAGTTTGTACTAAGAATATATAAAAAATTCTTACAACTCAGTTGTTAAGACAAATAACCCAATTAAAAAATGGGCACAAGTCTACGGCCATGCCACCCTGAACATGCCTGATCTCGCCTGATCTCGGAAGCTAAGCAGGGTCGGGTCTCGTTAATACTTGGATGGGAGACCATCTAGGAATACCAGGTGCTGTAGCTGTTAAAAAATTATAAAATAAAAAAAACAAAAAGGCACATATTTGAATAGACACTGCATCAAAGAAGAAATATAAATGGCTAATAAAAATATGATAAAATGTTCAATATCATTAGTTATTAGGAAAATGCAAAATACCGTTAAAACAGATAACTATTACTCATCCATTAAGATGGCTATTGTCAAATAATAGGTGCTGGGGATGGGTAGAAAATGGAATCCTCATTCATTGCTGGAGAGAATGTAAAATGGTTCAGCCACCTAGGAAAACAACTGAGCAGCTTATTAAAAAATTAAGTATATACTTACGAAAAAAAAAACAAGTAATTTCATTTCTGGGTATGTATCCCAGAGAAATAAAACATGAGCACACATGAATTTGTCCACAAATGTTCACAGCAGCATTATCTGTAATAACTAAAGTTAAAAACAATCCTTATGTCCACCAATTAATGAATGGATAAACAAAGTGTGGTATGTCCATGTAATGAAATAGTATTCAGCATTAAGAAGAAATGAAGTACTAACATATGCTCTAATATGGATGAATCTCAAATGCTGAATAAAGGAATCTAGAGACAAGATACTACATAACCATTGCTTTTATATTATTGTACATGCCTTATTTAGAACATGTGGAGGACTTATGTTCTGTAAGTCTTCTCTGAACTAGGCTCAGAGAACAAGGCAGGGACAGAAATATAGAACAGAGAACTGTTATAAACACTCTGTAGTGAGAATTAGTTGATAAATAAAAAAAGTCTATCACTCCAGCATGTAAAATTAGTTTGGCTTAGCAGTCCAAAAAATACCTTGATTTTAGAGTAACTGTCAAAAGAAAAAATTTTCATCAAGAAAATACAAAGAGGATGATGTCAGCAAAAATGGCAGAGTAAAGACCTCCAAAAACATGTCTCTCCATAAAAGAAATGAAGGAACTGGCAAGAATTCTCAGAACTGTGGAAATTAACGAAAGCCATGCAGCAACTTGGGAAGCACTTACTAAAGAAAAATGGCTGAATCTTGTAAGACAAGTGAGCTCTGTGGAGTTTTAATTTGCCCTAGTCCTAGTCCATGCTCTCCAGCTACACGGTAACCTAGAAAAATAAGCTTGTATTCCCAGGGCACCTTGACAGCCACCAGAGAGAACAGAATAAACTGGAGCTCTTTCAAAGCTGCATTCACAAGAAACTGATTAACTGACCTATCTGGTGGGCCCATGCAAGACCTCACATACAAGGTAATCTCTGAGCCTGCCCAGAGCAGAGAGCCTTAGGGGAAGGGAGAGAGCCAAAGGTGCTTGTCAGAAACAATTATAGACAAGTGTTTTAGCTTTACGGTGCCTAAAGTAATGAATAAAAGACGGGGCAAACAACAAACTAATCAAAAATCTTAAAAGCTGGGAAATGTGATGTCCAAAGGAGCTCTGAAAAGCGCCACACACACAGAGCTATGCACATGCTCAGGAAAGACCTGAGAAAGCACTAAGCTCTCACCTCTTGCTGACCTTGACGCTCTGTACAAACAAGAGGCAAAATCTAAGGCAGAGCTGTAAAATACCTTGGCTGCGTACTGATGGTATACCCCAACACAGCACAGAGAAAATTAATAAAACTACAAGTTGGTTCTGTGAAAAGAACAACAAAACTGACAAACCTTCAGCTGGGATGACCAAGACAGAAACAGAAGACTATTAAAATCAGGAATAAAAGGAGGGACATTACTACAGAACCTACAGAAATGAAAAGGACTATAAAAGACTATCATGAAAAGTTCTATGCCAATGAATTAGATAACGGAACAGATTAATTCCTAGAAAAACGAGAGCTAATGAAATTGACTTGAGAATAGAAAATCTGAATAGACCAATAGCAAATAGAGAATAAATTAGTAATCAGTGAACTTCCAATAAAGTTAATAAACTTTCACTAGTAATCAATGAACTTCCTGATGCCATCACAGGTGAATGCTACCAAATGTTTGCACCATCCTTCACAAACTATTCAAAAAAAACAGGAGGGAACACTTCCCAACTTATTCCAGGAGGTCAGACACAAACATCAAACAAAAAGAAAACTAAAGACAATCTCTCTTATCCCAACATCTACCTTAACCTCACAAATAATCAAGGAAACACAAAAGAAATATGAGATAAACTTCTTTACACCTAGAAGACTGAAAATATAAAGCTACAAGAGCCAGCAAGGATGTTGGGGAAACAATAATTGTAACACCTTGCTGGTGGGTATATAAATTAGTATAGCTACTCCAGAAAGTAATGATAATACTTGGTAAAGCTGAAAACACACACACAGCTACAACTCTGAAATTCCAGTTTTAGGTATACACTGAAGAGACACTCACAAATGTGGCTAATGAAACAACAGAAAACAATATTCATTACAGCACTGTTTTTTAAGAGACTAGAAAGAAGAATCTATGGCTTACTGATATAATGAAACACCAAATAGCAGTTAAAAATAGGTAAACTAGCTTTACGTGAATCAACATAGATATATTTCAAGAAATGTTGAATGAAAAAAAACTGCCTATCACTCATGTAGATTTTTAAGTATACCACCTAAGAGGAACTGTCATGAACTTAGACAGAATGTAAACACATAGGAATGAGCTGTACTGGTTTCAGAATAGTGGCACTCTCTAAGGAGGCACATGAGAAGACTTTAGCTATCTGTAATATTTTATTTCTTTAAAAAATAAAATCTGGAGCAATTATGGCAAAATATTAACATCTATTTAATTTCTCACATATATTTTTAATATTTTTCTATTTTACATATATATTAAAATATACTTAACATGTTTATATCAAATATAAAATATATATTATAGAAACAATTTCCACAGTCAAAACTATTTTTATGCAGTCTTTTCTTTATACATTTGAATACTACTGAAATTATAGTGTACAAATTTTTTTATATTATGTATTTTGTATTAAGAATTTACATCTAGAGGAGGTCAGTTATTTCAAATTTTTCCAATTATTTCAAATTATTTTCAAGTTTTTCCATAGGTCTCGAATTATTTCAAATTTTTTTCAAGTTTTTCCATAGGTCTCGAAGACTTTAATTCATATTTGGGGGTGGGGACAATCTAGAAATCAACTATTTTAGTTTGTGAAGGTAGGAGAAAATGTTCAAATGAACTTACCTGCTGAGTTTGTCTAAATTCTTCCAATAGTTTTAGTGCCATGTCATAATCTTTCAGCAAATGGTACGCGATAGCATATCCAATCCAGGAAGCACGCTGCGTCGGGCGCAACTGAAGAAGCTGATACCTTGTCTCCTTAAGAAAATAAAACAAAATTGTCTTAATTTTTTTTACTTTTTTAACTTTCTATAAAATATATTTCATCAGTTTAAGAAAACAATTTAATGCCTTTAATTCCTTTCTAATGAACTCAATGAACAAATATCAGTTTCAGAATAAAATAGAAATATCTTTTACGTTCTTTATCTAAATTACTTAAGTTCTAAAATACCCCATAATGCTGATTGTAAGGCTGTCACCAAAAAAACTGTCCTTGGGGTTCATGCTTTTGGGCTGACTTATAAAATTACCTTTATGTAACAGAATTCCTTTTAGTAACTAAACATGTTAGAAGAGAGACTAAGATAGTTTTTTATTAAACTAAGTCTGCTGTTTATAAAATTATTATATGAAATTACAATGCATTTACATTGTTATAACAGGCCCCAGAAACAGGATGGACACAGCCGGGGGGACTCAAACATCTGGGCTTTTCTAGCAGAAACCCCACTGCTGCCACTCTAAGACAGCTCGGTGTCTGTGACACTAGGGAGAAAACACCAGGAATTCCACCTTGGTGCCCCAGAAGGTTCACGGTATCTTCACCAGCAGAAAACCCCACCTCTACACAGCCTTCACTTCTTCACAGCTCCTATCTGCCTCCGAGTTTCAGGCAAGTGCAACTGCCTGGAGGAACAGGGTCTCATGAAGAATACCGGCTGCAACGAACAGGGTTTTGAAAACGTAGTGTTTAGCTCCCCTGACTCTGTGATTCGAATGGGTGCCACCTGCACTATACACCACAAGGAGTAACAGGAGTAACAAAAACAACTTAGTATCAGTCTGCTGCCTTCATGTGTGACTGGTTCCTTTAGGCATCTAAGATTAAACTGTATCGTTCTCATCCCTTATGGTCAGTGCTGCCTCTCTGCCCCTCCCCTCCTTCGTTGAAGTCTGGATCCGTTTTCTTCTCTCTGACAAATCCTGCCGCTATCCTGAGCAACGCAACACTGTGGCTCACCCATCCAACAATCTATCTTCTTAGAACCATGGTTTCCTCATGTTTAATGATCTCCTCCACCCCTCCCTAGGGACCCACTCCCACCAACACACTCTAGACCTTACAGCCCCAAATCATAAATTCCAATACCTCACTGCCTGGCCACAGCTCCTATGCTGCCCACAGTTTCCCTTTGCTTGGACAGTACCAGTACCTCTAGTTCCTTGAGTCCTTCACTTCCAACCACCATCCTCGTTTATTTCACTATCCCTCTTAGGAACCACTATCATGCCGATATTCTTCATGTCTTTGCCTCATGCCTAAAGATAACCACTAACTCTCACCACACCTAGGCAGAAGAATGGTTATTACTGAAGAACAGTTATTATTATTAAGCTCAGCCAAACCCTTGAAACTTAGGCAAAAATCTAGGCACAGGGTATAAGGACTTACATGGCAGAAGAAGGGCAAAAGTAAAGAGTAAAGGAAAGATTTATTTAAAGAGAGCTGCTAAGAGCTGGTGGTTCCCTTCACGTAAGGGCATGAGAGAATTCCATTTCAGACAGACTGAGTTTAGGAGACTAAGTGGAGCGGGCACGTGGAGATGCCCCGCAGAGCTGAAGGTGTCAGGGGGAAGGCCTGGACTACAGAAAGGCTGATGCACGCGGTCTTCCTCACGTTACTTTACACTTACTGACCCATAGGAAAGCCAATTAATCTCTACATTTAGATTTCCGTTATAAAGATTAAAATTTACCAAATCTGTAAATGTTGAACCCACAAAGAATCTAGTACAGAATTTACACACGAGATTATCTAGTTTTTTAAAAAGCATTAAATAAATAAAGTTATCCTTTTTTGATGATCAAATATGCAGTTCCACAATTATTACTGGGGGAAGGTTCCAAGTGACTTTCCCCTCCGCTACAGACTAAAATGAACAACTCAATCTACAAGTTCTTGGCTTATACCCATTTCATTCTGAATTCACATGCTTTTAAAATATATCCGTTGTAAAAACGTGTAGACTTAAGCTAAAGTACTTACTCGGTAACCTTCAAGGTCTCTCATTTGGATCTGCAGCAGAGAGAGATCTCTCAAAATTTGCAGATTATCTTTATCTAATTTGAGGGCATTTCGGTAACACTTAATAGCTTCATCATACTTCTTATCAGAACGCTGCAGGAGTCCATACACATGCCAGCCTATGAAGTTAAGGAAATAGAGACGTTCACAGGTACTAGAATATTCTATGCTATATCTCTAACATAAAGCTCACTTTAACTCAACAGTTCCTTTGTCTGAGATTTACTTCAGAATGATCGGGGGGTGGAGGGAAGGAGGTAGCGAGCCAAGTGCTAAAAGATAACATGAGATCAGCCTTGACTGACAACTGTGAAGTTACTGAAGCCGAGTGATGGGAAAGTGGGGGTTCATTATTCTGTTCTATTTGTGTACGTGTCTGAAATTCTCTTTTTCTATATAACCTTAGAAAATTCTTGGTAAAATTCTTCACGTTCCCTACCTTCTACTCCCTCACTCTACCCCAGGACCTCAATGTTCATTTTTCCTTCATCACTATGTATTAAAACAGAATACATACCAAAATGGCAATTATCTTTTGAAACAAATTTATATTCAATCAATTCTAAAACATGTAACCATCGGTTAATTCATCAGTGATACGAAAAAAACACAAAAATTAAGTTTTTATTTATTGTAAATTAAAGGCTTAGCGTATCTTGGAGCCAAAAAACTATCATACTTACACGCCCTCTCTCTTCACTCACGAGTGAGCACTGGGATAAAGAAGTAACTATATAGTATTTTGAGAGACTCCTGAGCTTAGTACATGAAAACGCTACTAAGACTACTGATGTTCAATACTGGTAAATAGATTAATTAAATGTACAAAAATTAAGAAACAGGGCAATATGTGAAAAGGTTGTGAATAAACATGTAGATGAGCAAAACAGAAATGAAAATCAATTTCGATGATCCAGCCTTAAAAAGTATTTTCGGTTTTTTACAAACTGGGATACTAGACAGAAAAAACATCAACCCTGAGTACCCAGTGAAGTAACAGATGTCGCCGTGCAGCCAAAACGAGCTGAAGAAATAACGCACAGTCACACTTAATACTCAATGCGTTCTTCTGAAATTTCCAAAAGTAAGTTTAAAAAACACAAATTTTACTCTACAGGTTAACTACTGTACAGTAAGTCATTACTTGGAATGATGGGAAAGTATTATTCAGTTTATGGATGTACAGGGGAAAAAATGGACTTTAAGTCTCATATAATTATCAAAGTTACTTTTCTCTCACACTAAGCACAACTGAAGTAAATACATACTGAATAGGGATGCTTTAAAATACTCCAATAAATAAAAAACAAGGCATAGGGAACAGATGAAACTAATACTACAAAACGTTGATAATTATTGAAACTGAGTAATGGGTACAAGAGTTCATTAAATTCTATATAGATTTGAATTTTTCATAGTAAAGTTTTTTTTCATTAGAATTAGGAAAAAACTAGTAAATGGAAAATACATTTAAGAATTAAACTACTCAACCACTGCAAAAGGATACAGACATGGCTCTTGACATCGTTACGAAGTCCTTTACGAACAAATTCATATGCTTCTTCTTTTTTTCCTAAACAATTCAGTGTTAAGCCTTTCATAGCCAAAGTCTCTGAAAAATATTTTTAACCTCTATTTACACATGATTCAAATTATTTTCTTAGCACTATTTTAATATCTGAAATCTGCCACAGTAAGAGGAATATCTCTTCAAATACAAAAGTAAAACTGCATTTTAAGTATTTCCTTAAAGTTTAGCCCAAGTCCTTTTCTGAAATTCCTTAGGCTGGGTCTAAGTTGCTAAATGCTAAATGCTTTCTGCCCTTTAGAAGACTCTAAAGGGGGCTGAGATTATTCTGCCGAGAAAAGGTAACACAGCAGGCACCTGAGTCCTGCTGAGTTACACCTACTGCAGCAGTCCACACCCTTCCCCTTAGATTCAATTCTAATCAAGAATCAAACCATCTGATTTACACCCCACAAAACAGTCTACCTTAACTAAGAGATAGTCACAATTTAAAAATTACCTTAATCAATACTGGAACAGACTGCATTTTTGGCAGAGAGTTTATTCCAACTAATGCTAGTTAGGCTAATTAACATCAGTTTGCATTTCAAGAGCACAACACTGGAGTGGCAACCCCAAAAAGATGTTTAAGGTAGTTCATATAAGATGGTTTAGAATGAAATAACTCTGAATAATCCACAAGAAGGAAATTAGACAAGAACAATGGTTTTCAAATTGGCTTCTATGGACTACTGACCATGGTGGTCCAGTCTCCAGACCCATAACCAAATGCCTTCTTTTATCAGTTTACACATAATGAACTTCCCACAAGCTTCCCTTTAGATAAGGGATCAATAGCTAAAAGGCTTGAAAACAAGCTTTAAATTTCTAAAATTCTATGAAATGAAGACGTCTTTCCATTTCCTTCAAAGAATATTTTAAATGTTATTAGAAAGTTGAGCCGGGTCAGCCTGTTTTCCCAAATAAGACAGTCTCAAGAATTACCCAAGTCTAATATTCAGAGACCCCAGTTAGCTTTGATCCGCTACAGGACCATAATTTCCATACCTAACTCGACCCATCCTTTTAACAAAAACTGGTTATCAGTGAAAAAGGATGAGAAGCAAATACAGACTTATTAATACCAGTGCTAAAAAAACAACTCAAGATAAGCAATCTAATAATAAACCAGTGGTGTCATATTTACATATAAAGGTCAGCAGGTATATAAAACACATCTACCAAAGAATAAAATGCATTTGACTGTATCTTCACACAACTTCTGTATTGCAAATACTGTCCTAATTTACGCAAAGGAAATCAAAGAATACATTTAAATTCTATTTAAAGTAATATATGAAATTAAGCCTATAAAAATATGTGTATATACTCCAACTGTTCCCCAACCAACCACTTCTCATCTAAAACTAAAGACTGTACATAAACCTAAACATAATAGAAGTAAAGTAACCCAGAATAAGACTGATATGAAGTATAACTGAATATGTTAAATATTCACACATCTAACAGAGAGCTACAAGGCCCTGGATCCTGGGGAAGCATTCTTCAGTCCCCGTTAGGAATGTGATCTGTCCCCAAAGCAATCTCTCGCAGATGAGACGATACCTCCATGTTCAGCAAATTTTGGATTTGAAAGAATCATCTTGCAAAACTTGAGGCCATTTTTGTACTGCTTCTGTTCATAACATTTCTGTAAAGAAACATGAACAAAAAATTGTTTTATAAAATGAATATACATGGAGTAACTTTTCACTGCATTATATAAATCCTAAATTCACAATCCAAAATTGTTCTAGTATCTATTTTCACTTTTACAGAAGATTAAAAAAAAAGTAAACAGTAAACAAAAAAATTTAATTGTCAACCAACACTGCTACAGCTTTTCTATATTCAAAATCAAAAAGCAAAAACATGTGGTAACAACACAGAAAAATACTAGAAACTGCATTAAAAGCCGTTGCTCTTAGAAGAATGGAACCAAGTCTATGGCCATGCCACCCTGAACACGCCCAATCCCGTCTGATCTCAGAAGCTAAGCAGGGTCGGGCCTGGTTAGTACTTGGATGGGAGACCACCTAGGAAGACTAGATGCTGTAGGCATAAAAAAAAAAAAAAAGGATGAAACCAAGGTATACACACAAAAAAAATACTGCTATACTATTATTATGTGTCTATACAAATCTTGTTATTACTCATATTAATTCCTTAAGGTAGGTATCATTACCTCCACCTTACAGATGTGGAAAATGAAACTTAAGAGGTCATAAAATTTGTTTATAAGTGGCTCAGCTTAGTTGCAAACTCTAGTGTGACTCCAAAGACCATGGTCTTTCAATCACTGGTCGGATACAAGGGTAAGCAACCTCTTTATTCCTAAATGCTACCAGCCAGGCTAAGTCATCGGTTACTGTCCTCCACAGCCACTGATCATGAGAACATCTCATCTCCATTCAGTCACCTTCTCATTTACGTTGTTATGGGTGTTCTTTCTAGTACATAACATGCCAAGCTTATCCCCACCTCAGGGCCTTTGCACCTGTGTTCCTCTACCCGAAACGTCCTTCCCCAGATCTTCCCATGGCTGATTCCCTATCATCGGGGTGTCAAAGTCACCTACCTGACCACTCTATCTACTACTGCTAGCCTCCTACCCAGATACAAACATATTCTCTATCATATTGCTCTATTTTTTACACAGCTTTATCATCTCCTGAAATTCCTATTTATGTGATTACTTACTCAGTGTCTCTCCTTTCCACCACACCATAAGCTCCATGAGAACAGAGATCTTGCCTAGTTTAAACATTGCTGCATCCTCAGGTTCTAGACAAATGAGCACAGCTCGATAAAAACAGCCTACTACCCTCAAAAAAAGTAGGAAATGATTGATCCTTGCAGCAGGTGTGGGATGTGGAGGGGAGAATCAGAACTTAGTGTCCATAGAAAAAAATGTTTAAAATTAGGCTTCTTGATTGCTTCTGGGTAAGGGGAACTTAGTGGTTGGGAGAAACCGAAATTTTGAAATATGCAAATATACTACCTATTCTAAAAATAATTTAAAGGAAAAGTAAAGAGATAATCTGAATTTGACTATAGAAGTTCACCTGACAAATGATAAAAAAATAAGCAAAAGGAACTACTGGGGAAGAAAAAAGGAGAGAATTATTATAGGTTTTTTGACTTACCAAGTGATCTCAAAAGTAATAATAATCATACTACCAATAACAGTAATGATAATAGTTAACACTTATTGGAAATATTTACTATGTGTCAGGCACTGTTCTCATTTAATCCTTACTTAAGTCCCAGGAAAGCGTATGAGATGCATGTTATCTCCATTTTAGATGGAGCGATTGAGGCACACTGGTTTTCACAGCCGAAAGTGTTAAAGTCACAATTCAAACGCAGGCAGTCTGTCTCCGGCACCCAAGAACTCAGGTTAAAGAAAAGTCTTAAGTTCAGTAAGGAATATATGCTTAGTAGAAAAGATAGATTCTAGTTTCAACTTTTCTACTAACCAGAGAACCTGAGACACTCATTTACCATTCCTGGGTCTGACTGTCTCATCCATAAAAAAGGGCATCGAATAGCTCCAAAATTCAACAAAATGTAATGCTAAGAGCTAGTTGAGGAATAATAAGACAGGCAGGCATAAGCCACGCAGAACATGTGACAAGCTAGCTGGTGAATTTGTATGGATATGTTTATGTACACTGATAACTAATAAAAATTTACTGCTGCTGACAAAGCACTTTGGTACACAAACCAAACTTAAAAAATAATCTCATTATAGACACTTCTGTTTGTCAAGGAATTCGATGTAGCAAAATTTTACCCACATTTATTGCAATGGTGAGATAATGAAATCACTCGCTTTTGCAGCACCGTCCTAAATTCATGTAACCTTAAAATAAACATTATACGCCCAGAGAGGAAAATGTTCAGCATTTCCCAATTTATTTGGGGATAAAGTTAACCTAGCAGCAGTTTTAACTTTTTTGTAACTAGAATGTAATAAATCATGTAGTTTTTCCTCATTCTAATAATAACATGATTTAAACTACAAAATATCCATATATAAAGTGTGTTCTGTCATCTTTTAAGTAAAATGTCACATGCCCTGAAATCTAATAATGATTTATAGATGACTTTTCATTAACATATTTCAAATTCCCTAGACAAAAAAAAAATCCCATCTGAAAGGACAAAAAAGTTCACTTGCCCAGTTCCATACTGTGAAAAACATAAAAAGAAAAACTTTAAGTAATATAGGAAAAAACATATACTAAAAAGCTGAGTGAAGCAATCTGCCACAATGCTTTAATTAGAACTTTTTGTTTTTTGTTTTTACACTTTTTGTCTCCCATTATTTGCCCAACACTAAGCACCATTTAAAATTAAGACGAAACTTTTGTCCCAGTTACTATGTTATCTTTTTTTAACATTCTGAAGAATAACTTTCTATTAGCTTAAAACAGAACAACTTCTATGAATTTTTATCTGTCACTGATAATACTTGAAACATTCTAAACTTAGTATCTTATTTATGGTAAAGGTAACCAACAGCTAAAACTCACATAACACAGCTCTAAATACCAAATTCACCTTTAAAATCTAAACGCTTATGCTCAGATGAAACAACAAACTAGGAAAGAAATAGCTATTTACAATATTAATTTAAAATCTATGGTCTCCAGTTTTGCGGAGAAAAGCGAAGGCAGGCTGCCTCTCCTCCCTGGAAGAACCGTGAAGCCCCCAAGGACGCTGGCACACAACCTCCAGAAAACACACTTCTGGGCCGGGCAGCGTTCATCACAACAGCGCCAGTATTCAGGTTTCTGCTCGGAAACTAAGTAAATGCTCCAGTGCAAATCCAGCCTGTCCGCAAGGCTTTCATCACTTACCCAAGGCAGGGCCTGTGCGAGGTAAAAGCAAA